CCTCTCTGACGTTCTGACTTTCCAAGGAGAGGCATTTGGCCGCGTTGCCTCTGCCTTCGGCTTCCCATCGTTGGCTCCTCATTACCTGAGGCTTCTCCCCGGAATTTGGATCGTCGTCTGTCTTTCTTTTTTTTCTAAGCAGGGTGGTCCACTTTGGCTGTGGCCGGAGGGTGGGTTCCAGCGCAGGAATGGTAGGGTCGGAAGATACTTTGGGAGCACTCTGAAATGCAGGCAGGGTCCCTGGTTACTTACGAACGGACACCCCAGAGTGATGAGCCACCCCCCATGCAAAACATTGTTACACCCTCGAGGTACATGTATGTAATGGTTGGGGATAACAAATGGGCACTATTTTGCCATGTACCGCAAAGCCTTAGTATTACTCCTGTTCGAAGTTGAAGAGGTTTTCGTGTGTCTGCAAACATTGGTTTGCACAGAAAGGTGCACTATATGCTAAGGCAAACATTTGATAGCTGACATGAGATACCGACTGCACCTAACTGTTCGGATTTATGAACACATTCGACTTAAAGACAGGTTTAGGAAGGGAACTCATTCATCATCTGGGGACTTCTCGTAATGAAAAGTACCTTACATTTAAGCAGGTTTTGAAATTCAGCCCTAACTCTCAGCTTGGGAAGAGAAACTTTCTGCTTTCACGACTTTTCAAATGCTTTACTATACCTGGACATTTTCAGTGTGCAGTTCACATTCAGATGGTATATTTTAATTTATTAGTTTTTTCAGGTGGTGTATTGTAATCACTGGTATTGGTTAGGTGACATTTTCTTGGGTGAATGCCCATACATAAAGGATTGAGTGAGAAAAGAGCAAAATGCCAGTTTTCCTTATCCTCCCCCCTGGCTGCCTTTTAAATTCAGAAAAACAGTTCACTGAGATGCGGTTGCCTGTAAAAGAAAGGCTCTCTGGCCTTCTTCAACTTCGACTTCTGGAGGTCTCAGAGTCCGCCTTTCCACGGTGGCTTATCGTATGCTATTTGGATATATTGTAAAATGGAAATCACATGATATAATGATGTCATACATTATATATATAATATAATATATAGTAATATAAAACATTTATATTATAAAATGAAAACAATTACATGGACCTTCCCCAGAAGTAGTAGCTGTGTGTGAATTACTGAATGTAAATGGATCATGGGAATTATTGTTGTGCCAATAGCATTTCAATGCAGCTGAGCAGTGGGGCAATGCTATTTGGAACAATTCCAGTGGGCACAGTGGAGGGAGTCTTTATCTAGGGCCACCTGAGGGTCAACATAATGGCGATTGCGAGGATAAGAATTTTTGCTTTTCCCTTGTTGGAAACTCTTTAGGCCGCGGTTTCTGGTGACAGCCCCCGGGATCATCAGGCCAGGAGGAAACGTGACCATTGGGGTGGAGCTTCTGGAACACAGCCCCTCGCAGGTCACTGTGAAGGCGGAGGTATTGAAGATGGTGTCCAACCGCACTATCCCCGTCCTAGAAGCAGAAGAAGTCTTTGAAAAAGGTAAGATTTTAAACAACATGCAGGCTTACCCTTCTGAGAGCTGGAATCTCTTAATATGGCCACGTGTTAGGTAGGGGACATGTTTCCAACCTGTAGTGGCTTACATGCACTGTTAATCCTTACTCACAGAGAGTCCAAATGGCATTCTTCACATAAGTGGCATTTGAGGGAGCCAGTGCCCTCCCTTTTTGTGGCTCCCTCAGCAGCAGCAGCAGGTGGCTCCCAAGTTAGGAAGAGAAGGAGTGTCAAGTGTCTCATGTCAGAGGGTTTTATGCGCCAGGGCTAGGGTGGCTCATACAACAAATAGCAAACTCACCGACCTCTAGTCAATGCCAACTCACAGTGACCCAGTAGGACAGGGTCGAACTGCCCCTGTGAATTTCTGTAACTCTTTCCGGGAGTAGAAAGTGCCGTCTTCCTCCTGAGGAGCAGCTGGTGGTTTCCAACTGCTGACCTCACGGTTAGCATCCCCATCTGTAACCACTTTGCCACCAGGCCTCCTCACAAGAGAAGCACACATCGCTTCCCGAGTGACTGAACCTTGTTCCTACAGACGCTGGGGAGTGTAAGCCACCCTGTGCCTTAGAAGAGGAAACAGGCTTCCTTGATAGTCTCTGATCACAAACCATATTTATGCCAGGTAGAAGACTTTACTGAATAGGCCCAAGGTAAGGAGAAGCAAAACTGTATAATAGTTAAAATTCAGTTTTATGGAATGCTTCCTAATTTTTAAAGCAAAAGCAAACAAAGAAAGGCAGTGTGAAAGTGGTAGCCGCGGGGCTCCTGTGAAGTTGTTTGTTTCATGTTAGGATGTCAACCAGAAACGAAGGCCTTTGCTTTTGGACTCTCACCTGGGCTTGGAGTAAGTTGGGCCCATTCTGTATTTATTTTCAATATTGAAGGAAAATATATTTTTATGTATACTGTCCTTGTTTTTTTTTCATCAAAGTGAACATTCATATTTTGTCTTCTGATCGTGAAAGTCATACATGTTCAGTGCTCACAACTCAAATAACACAAGAAGTAAGGGAAATAAGCCCAAACCAACCCCAATCCTACCCCCACCCCCGACATAAACACTGGAACTAGATGCCTGTGCAAATGTTTAATTAGAGGTTTGAAATGGACTCACACTTTGATAGTGTTAAGAATGATCTTTTAAAAAATCATAGAAGGGCTTCTAATAAAGAGCAGATGAGAGCCCACTGCGAGTTATTGCATAAATGTCCCTGCTGTACCAGCACAGAGCATCAACCTTATCTTGAAAACAAGATTAAATCAAAAGCTATCTACAGCAGTGGTTCTTTCTCCAGGAGGAATGGACTGACTGGGTGGGTAAGTTTGGGACGGGCGTCAGAAAGAGGCGATGTATTCAGAGTCCTCATGTCACGGAGTGAGAAGCCTTACTCCCCGGAGAAGAAAAGTAGGCTGGTACTAAGGTCTAAGTTTGAGACCCAGCACTTATTTTATACTGTAGTAGTTGAGTGATCTCGGGGAGGCCCTTTAACAGCTCTGAGCTTGAAATTCCTCATTTTGTAAAGTTGTGATAATGAAATTTACTCCCCACCATAGTCAGACAGTTAATTTAGGATATAACACCTGTCATAGATTTGACTTGTGTCTGTCCAGAATATGTGTCACTTCGCCGAGGCTATGATTCCCAGCAATGTGTGACTGGTGTTCATTCTGTGGTCTGATTTAATTGTCCTCTATTTTGTGACGTGTTGTGAACCCGAGTGTTCGGCTGTTTTGCATGCGGTAGGATTAGGGTATGGTACGGAGACTGAGGTAGTGTTTGCTATGTTTTGGAGGTCAGAGTAGGGTGGGAAGTATCATCTTACTGCAGCCACTACCTTTACTCAGGCCATAGCCCAGTAAGGGGACTTTGCTGAGGGGTTACCAGCATCACCTGCTATTTTCAAGAGATGCCAGGAGAAAAGGGTGAGCCGAGAGAGGGGCCTTAGCACTCCGTGAAGGAAGAGTTGGGCATGGAGCACGTCCTTGAGACCTCCCGGCCCCGGGAAAGATAGATGTCAAAGATTGATTCCTGGTCTCCCAGGAAAACCGGCCCCCCGCAGGTGCTGAAAGGAGCCAAGGACCTTCCCCCAGAGCTGACAGCAAGGCAAACGGGCACCGTGAATTTGCACTTTAACTTCCTAACTTGTGAGAGGATACGTTTCAGGTTGTTAAAGCACCCATTTGTAGTTATTTCTGTTATAGCAGTGCTAGATAGCTAAGAGGCTCTCAATAAAGTGCACCTGTTAATATTCTTAGTAATAATTCCTAAGAAGAAGATGCCAGAAACATGACTACATGGATCTCAGCCTTTGGAAAGAAAATACTTACCGTATATACTCGTGTATGCGCTGAGTTTTTCAGCACATTTTAAACGCAGTTTTTGTGGTGAAATTGGGTGCCTCTGCTAATATTCGGGTTGGCTTATACTTGAGTGTATACGGTAAGTACACCCACTCATCACTTACCCACATGGTTAGGTTCCAAAGAGCAGTCCTTGTGTGAGAATGGGGGGTGACCACCTCAGATCCCTACATGGGGTGTGGCCACATCATTCCGTGGCCACATCTGACTTACTGTGCTGCAGAGCTTCCAAAGACGGTGGTTGTAGTGTCAAATCAGTAATCTTTGAGAGCTGGCAGTTGTGCTCTGTCTTCCACCTGGTGGTTCACTACCTGTCAGGTGCCCCCAGTGTATCTTGAGACCTGCATGGCAGGGTCCCTCTTCCCTACCCTGCCTTCCACCACTGCAGAGCCCATAAGGGCTGGTGGTGGTGGAGGGGGTTGGGTGTTCGCTGTTGTCTCCTATTGCCTTTGGTGGAGACTCCTCTTGTCTTCTGTTCACACGCTGGCCCCACAGTCCCGAGTGGCCTCCTTCCTTTTCCCTCCCTTCCTGTC